GATAATACAATGATCTTGACATATCATACATTTGATTCAAATAGGGTATGAAGAAATTTTAAATGAGGAAAGAATACTGAAGTATTAAGGGGGTGGGAGATCTGAAGTCTGGAAGAAGTCCTGGGATCCTGAGGTGGGGTCTCCTATAAGAGGGGTAGGTAAATCAGTCAAAAGTACAATTTTTAACTGGATTAAAAAAAAAAATAGAGATAAAAGATGCTCAGGCCTCGAAGAGTCCTGGAGTATTGAGGACATGGGTCTAAGAGCATTAGTTAGGGTTAAGGCAGTGGTAGAACCTTATAGGATACGAAATATGGTAGGAGGGGTCTCCTGGTTGGCCCAGTAGGCTAAACGAACTTGGAAAATTGCATTACTTTTTAGTCACTTACACCAGAGGGTTAAGAAAAATCAGGTAATAGTTCCTGATGATTAGTTGGTACTCAATTAAAGACAGATACAAACAGGGATATCTAAAGGATTCACTCAAGAATTTTTGGTACCATTTTATCTTCCTTTTATCCTTGCAAAATATTGGAGTGGACACCATGAAGGAAGATGAAGTACTAAACATAATTTTTGGAGAAACATAGTAATATTTATCAATTACCAAAAATCCATTACATGCACCAGAAATGACAGTTTTGTAACAATGGGTTACTGTTAAAGTACATCATTTTCAATTATTACTTTTTTCAAAGCAGTTAGTCTTTCCTCAGGGAAATACAGGTACTTAAAGAGTTAGGAAACAAAAAACTGGCTGCAGATGGGATTTGGGGTTTGCTTAGTAAAAGCTGAGAGGATGATATGCAGAAAGGCTGGGCAAGGTATTTGGCTAGGGGCTTCCCACAGCTAAAAGGAATCAGATAGATACCTGACAGATGAAGAAGACTAAAAAAGGAAAGACAAGTAACAATTACAGGGATTTAAAAGACAATTTTTAAATGCATAGTTACATTAGTCTTCATTTTGAATGCTAGAATAAACTCCTACATGAAAAACACTCATTGGAAAACTCTATCCGAAAGGAGGTGCTGGGAAATGAAACTGACCAAATTAAACTGTTCTATTGTGTGCATGCATGTATGACTATCTAACAATAAATATATATCATGTGTGATTATAATATGCCAATAAAAATTAAAATATAAATATTAATTAATTAAAGTTTTTTTAAAAAGAACCATCAAATGGGTATCACGATGTGTCCCACCCTTACTTCAAGTCAACACTCAGCTCTCTACTAGTTGAAATAGTAAGAATGTCACAGGGAACACAGAATTTGACAAAATTAAAATAGATAAGAGAATAAAGTGCTAATGAGAAGAAAAGGAGAGTAACCATCAATGGTGATGCTGTAGTTTCACTGGGAACAATGTTCATTCAGCAAATGTTCTGCCTTCTTCTCCCTGCTCTCTGTTGTTCAGTTGATTGGTTTGTTTCTACAGGACCCACTATGGGCTCAGTCAAAATAAAACAGAAACCACATCTAGTACTTCAAAAGAAATAATGTAAAAACTGCTCAGCAGCTGCTGGAAAACTAAAAAAACAAAAGGACCATGACATTGTAAAATAGCTGCAGCAAGAACTACCCACTACAGCTGAAGAAACAGAGGCTGGTTTCTCAGAGTCCAGGAGGCTCAGTGAAGAGGCCTTCCAGACCTGGGGCTCAGGCCTCTGAGGATAAGGCACTGCTCAGCTCATGCTGGGGTTTCTGAGGATCATGACGAAGCCAATTCTGAAAGTGTCACAAAAAAAAAAAAAAAATGTTGGAGCCTGGAACCAAGAGCTACCATCAGGGTGAAGAACTACTGCTGAGTTGGGGCTGTCATAAAGAGACAGTAACAGCAAAAAGCAAGCCCCCTTCCCTTCTCCAGCCTGCAGCCTTCCCTGTCTGGCACCCCACATATGAGAGCCGAGCAGAAAACTAAGTTGGCTAAGAAAAAATGTGGTTTGCAGAGTGCCAGCATCAGAAAGCTGAGTATGGAAGAGTGGGTGCAGAGCCGAGAGACAATAGGTTGAACATACACACGAAAATTGCAAAAAGAGAAATCTGTCCCGTGTTTAGGTCTGTTTCTCACATCTTAACTTATACTAAGCTGATTTGTCTCAAAACATTACAACTAGGGACAAAGAAAGTTGGCAGAATAATCCAAAGACAGTCTGAGTTCCACCCCAGCCATGCTCACTGGGACATTTGCTTACATTTTCAAGAAGCATTCTAAGAGATTGCTGTTATGTCCTAATTGTTCTTACCTACAAAAAATGGGCTCCTTGGAAGCCATGTGCAGCTTGCTTAAAACAATAAGCTTTTCTAACCCCCAAGCACAACATACTCTGGGAGCATGGTCTGGATGCTTATCAAACAAGTTCCTGGGCCATTCTCTGAAGTCTCTGGGCAAGTACAAACAACAGAGTCAAATAAATGCCTTTAAAAGCAAGGCAGTGGAGCACGTACCCTGTCAGTGAGATCCTCATATTCCCACAGAGTAAACAGTAACATGAGAATATTTATATGAAACAAAACTGTCTATCAAGCCTGCTTTGGCTCAGCCAGAGGGAATGATAAATTCCTTGCAGATCTCTCATAGAGTGGTCCTTTGTTGACCACGGACGCCACTTCCAAGACAGTACAAACCAATTACAGAGCAAGGCTTTTCATTATGTCAGAGAATGAAAATATTACCCCCCATTTTGTTTTATTTCACAGTTATATTTTACTTACCCCCCACCCTGGCTTTTTGTTGAAATATTTTAATTTATCATGAGACAAGCCAAATTTAGGTTGAAAACAAATGACACCCCCCCACCCACCCACACACACGCAAACAAACCTTATCCCCCTCATAGTCTAGCTTCTTGCTTTCTTTCTCCTTCTTTAAAAAAAAAAATTCAAAGCTAAAGTTTAAAGTTGGGTAGAACAAAAACACTGAAGAGTTGATTCAAGATGAATTTTATTTGTCCACATGGATGTGGGCCTATCCACAACTGGCACAAGTCATGGGCAAAGTCGGCTGGCAGAAGCTAGAGGTGAAACCAGCTGTGAAGCCACACACCATACAATGTCCACTCTGTGGCAAAATTAATTTTTAAAAGTACTGAAGAAACATGTGTACAAATCTGGTCTGTTTCCAAAGAGGCCAATCTGAGGTAAGGTTGACATGAGTCAGGGTAGAGGTTTGTTCACTTGGTCAGGTTTCCTTAATCTGATGGGATAATCCTTCCTGGTTACTGCAGATCCCGCCCAGCTAATTCTGCCAGTTCATGCACAGCAAGAGCTGATGATGCCATGTCCGTTCATGGGAAAACCTCAGCAACCTACAGCTGGTTCAGACTTCCTGGAGTACCATGATGGAAGGATGGGGAATCAGAAGATGAATGAGACAAGAAGTGTGATTGTGCTGGTTTTGAAAATTATAATAAAAGAGTAAACTATTGTTTTTAAGTAGTTGGATCAAAGGCCAAATTTTATCAACTCTATTTAAAACTAAAACCCAATTTTAAACCAAATTTCATAAGTTAACAGCAGAATCCATCATTATAGATTCAAAAGAGAAAACAGTGCTCATATATTTGTATACATTAATGAATATTAGAAATTGATTACTTTTTATTTAGAAACTGTGGATTCAGTGAAATTACCTTATCAGATGTTTGTCTTTTGTTTTTCTTAACTTTTTTGGAATACATGCTTTTTTTTCTTTTTTAACTATGATAATTATATACAATATAAATTTTATCATTTTGATCATTCTTAAATATGTAATTCAGTGTAAGTATATCCATATTGTTGTGCAATCACTACCATCATCCATCTCGAAAGATTTTTCATCTTTTAAAACTGAAACACTATATCTAGTAAGTAAATATGTGGCTGCACATAGGTCTCGACCAAAGCCAGCAGTCTGGAACACAGAGAAAACAACCTGGAGAGCTTAACCTTGGTAAATGGAAAATTAATCCACCTCTCTTACAACCCCAAAAGAATCAATGGCATCTTATGCTTTTATCCCCTCTCTGCCATTCAATACAGATGCCCCCAAACTGAAGAAAAGTTCTAGAATATATTAGCAAAGACTACTACTAATAAAGTTTCATTTTTATGTTATAGTTTACAAACGTTTATTGCCCCCAACACAGCTCTTAGTGCTGAAATTAGTTTCCCTGTTTAATAAATAATGAAACTGTGGCTATGTAGGGGATAAGAATAAGGACCAGAACCAAGTCCACCAACCCATTGTTCAGTGCTCGTTCTGCTGGGTCACATGGCTTCTGTCAAAGCAAGGAGGAATGAAGACTTATCATTTCTCTGTCATGACCCATCAGATCTCAATGGACAGCATTTTCCTTCTGCACCAGAGCAACTAATATTCCTTAAATATGAAAAATACACCTAGTCCATCATTTTTTATCTGTGTAGTAATTGTATAGAAAAGAAGATACTCACAAAATCACAATTCTGGAACAGGGCAAATGAAATCAGACTCAAATGTAAGTTAAAAAATATTAGATCATCAGATCCTATAAAAGATTTGAGTTTGACCTCTTTTTAATCCCTTAAAATAGACTTGTATGTTGTGCTCTTTTTAGAGAAGTTCATTATTAGTTTTGCTAAAGAGAATTAGTAGAAAATTAATTTCTCTGAGATTTAAGAATAGAGCATTTATACTAAAATGTTTCAAATACTAAGGACTTATGTAAAACTGTTGGAATCAACAAGTAGCTTCTTTTACTTCACAAAATAACATGTTTTAGTTTATTTCAAATAAAATTTCTTCCACTAGTATCTTTCTTTCTGTTTAAAAGTACTCAATTTCTAAACCTTTAGACTTTCCATTTAAATTACAAAAACAATAAACACTTCCTTGAAGTTATGCCCAACACCACCATGCTCTCTCCCTACATAAACAATAAAAACCTGGATAAATCTGACTTATGGAGTTATCTCTGGGATGAACAATGGGTCGTTCTAAATGTAGCAAGGCCAGAAAGGACAATCATGCTTTGAAAGAAAGATTTTATTTTATAATCGCTCTACTTTTTAATCACTTAGAACTTGATTTTCATAAATGCACATTTTAAAAAATTGGTTACTCAAAAAAAAAAAAAAGAGTTGAGTACAAAACTTGGGAATACAGAATTCAGGAAAATCAGGCTGGGAGGGTAGGGCACTTGCCTAGCATGCAAAAAACCCTGAGTTCAGTCCCAGCAATTGTAAAACAAATTGTTCAGGAAAACCAAATTGAGTCTATTTTTGTTGTTGTTGTTGTTTCACAAAGGTGGCTCAGCAACTATGGCCACCTTACTCAGGTTATTCAAAATGGCATCGTACTTGACACAGTTGTACTCACAAAGTTTTGATGATGACTAGAAACATCACAGGTGATTATGGATGATCTATAAGCATTTGTTATTGTTGTTGAGGAAATAATGCTTCCAATTTTTCAATACGCAGATGCAACCAAGTTCTTTGTATCTTCCTCTGATCTTCATTGATCAAAAGTAAATTTTGCAATGATTGATACTTTTCTTTAAAATTTCAGTGAATCCTTAGATTGATCACATGAAAACACCTTCCCGAATCTTCCAGAATTCCCCAATATTTTCCTTTATAGCGTATTCAGCACAGTTCTTGCATTCCAGGGGTGTAAATCCAACTAGTGCTCTTCCTATGGTACCAATTCCCTGATTACTTGCCAACTTTTTAACTTGAGCTTCTATGTAATGTGGAGACACATAAGAAAAACGGTCCCCAAGAACACTATAAGTCACATATTGAGAGCCTTCTGAGGTGTCTGTAGTTTCTTGGTTTTCAAAACTCTCTACGTTGCAAGCTATCTCAATTTTCCCTTCATGGGGAAAAGCCATTGCTTGGACACCCTTCAATCCATGTACACTGGAGCCTCGAATGGCATGAGCGATCTCTCTTCCTACAGACAAGTCTTGAGAATCTATAGTAACATTGCAGTTCATCACGTATGGGCTGGCACCAATACCTAAATCATTAGAAAAGCATCTTAATAGAGCAGAACAAAGGTCTCACCTCAAAGATTCAATTCTTCAGTCAATTTTAATCAAAGGAGTGTACTTTACTTGGTTTCATTTTAAAAGAATACAAATATTCCTCATTTTAAACTCGAGGATTTTCCAAAAGTCTTTTTTGAAATAATAGGCATTTGAGCTACAAGCAGAAAATTTTATCTACACTAAAGTAGCAGAGGGATGTTTAATTCCAGAAGAAGTAAAAAGAGTCCAGGCTTTCTAAAATAACAACAGAGAACAGAAAGCACAGTTATGAATTCAGTATCATCAGCTATATCAGGCCTTGGCTTTCACTCATCTCCACCTCCATCTCCAGAGACTGGAACTCAGTGTCACTCCTATGGATCTCAGAGACAGTAGTAAACCATACCTCTGTATGTGCCACTTTCTTCCCAAATGCATGCCATCATGGATTAAAATGAACCTCCACACCAAATCTTTATTAGGAAAAGAGACAACTGAGAAGCAACTAATGGCTTCAGGATTGGGAAGGGCAAATGGACTCTGGTGTCTCAGATGATGTGAGTTTGGAAGGGTTTAGAGTGCCAAAGACATGCTCATGCCCTTTTGCACAAACTGTTGCAGGCAACTCTTTCTTCCATCCCCAGCTTCTTAAGAGACTGGGGCTGTCACTGCCAGCCAAAGCCCTGTTACTCTAGAGCTCAGGGGCAAATGCACTGCTTTTCCCTGCCTCAGGGATGGTGTAGCTCACATTACATAAATAGCTCTCCTCTAATTATAGTTTACATTATAAGATGGACAACTTGGTTAAATTAGCATTGGTATAAAAAGCTTAGGTTTGCAGTTTCCTCAATTTGGGGGAACCTTACATTTCTAAAAGCAACGTTGACTACGGATTGATGGGGATAAAAAGCTGACCTCATCTTCAGCATATGAAAATTCCTTAGCTACTATTTCAACATTATTTTACTGATATTGCTTTTTCTTGCTACTTTCAAACTTATTGCTTATTATTTCAATATCCATCAGAGAAGTGCTTTCTGTGTTCACTCTCCCCTAGACCCTGGTGGTTTGGGGGCTTTGTTGCCCAGCCTCGCTGCTTCATACTAATAGACATTTTTCAGAAAATCAGCACACTCATCTTTTTCCCACACATGTACATAATGAAACATTTCGACTCCCAAGGCTGGGCCTCTTTCTACTGGGAATTCTGCAGGAATGAATCAGATTACAGTATTTCCCCATAATGCTAATTTCATAAAAATTAAATTTCCTAACAGTCAATACATCTTTCTCTCACAATCTCATACATCAATCATTTACTCTAAATATCTTTTAACATTTCACAGAGTACAACTAGAATTTTTTGTTGATGCTACTCATTAATAGAAAACATCCAAACATTGTTTTTCTTTACTTCTCAATAGGTAATGTTATAAATAGTGCCATTTCCTAAGATCTGTTACACACACCTTCTTCTGACTCAGGAAGACATTTTTACCACAGTTCTAACAAACAGGTGCTGCTGAAGAGTATATACACAGGAAAAGTATATACAGAAAAGTATATACATGAGGGGCTGGAGATGTGGCTCAAGTGGTAGTGCACTTGTCTAGCATGCGTGAGGCACTGGGTTCGATTCTCAGCACCACATAAAAATAAAATAAAGATTTGTGTCCACCTAAAACTAAAAAATAAATATTTTTTTAAAAGTATATACACGAAGCATACATATTAAAAATATATCCCTAGTTTAGTGTACTTTGCTATTCCATAGCTTTGATAGGCCAAACCAACATTGAGAAATTCACATGTGGCTTGTCAACTTTGGGAAGCAGGTCACTTTCAAAAAATATTCCTTCAGACAGACCCAATAGCCTCATTCCATACTTCTGTGGGCCATTACATCTCTACAGACATGGTATTCTTCCTGTATCCACCATGAAAATTCCAAGGCATTTTTTTAACCATTTTTTAACTGTCCCCTTTTTAGTAGAATTTCCAAAGTGATCATCCCTGATAATAAGGTGAACTCACTGCTCAAGATAAATCATTAAAGATAGAACAAGTTTAGATGTTAAGAGGTAAGCACAAAGGTTCCATAAAGAATGCATGTATACAGTGCCCTAACCTGATTTACCTGAATAAAATAGACTCTATTTTTAAAATTCTTTCAACAGTGTAAACTTCATTATTTCTTAGAGAAATAAAATGAAACATCAGAAACAATTTAGAGGCAAACAAATAACATAGTCATTTTTTTCACATATGCTCTTGATATGTATATTTTAAATTCTATCAAACCTCATCTACACAAGAATTTTATTTGGTTTTATTGCTATATCTCACTCAGGCAGTGAACAGAGACAGTTAGTGAATCTGAGATATTGACCTAATCAGGGTGGCAGTTTTCTCTCCAAGGGGTTATGAGGCCATGACCCATTTTTTTTCTCAGGAGGGAGGAGGCAGAGGAAGAAAGAAAGAAAAGAAAATGTCTCTTTCTGCCCAAATTCATGCTTTTCCAATTTCCTCCACTTAATCTTTCCAAGTCAAAACCAATATGGTGATCCAATTATACCGAATCAAATTCTGCATTTAAATCCAGCAGTCCCATTGACCTTATTTAAATGCTAAATTTGATTTTTTTATGTTAATTTAAACCTACTAAGAAGGTATTTTAAATGAGAGAGATAATTAATCCCAGCAAATCGTATTTCTAGTTAAATGTCATATAATTAAAGTAATTCCATTTTTTGCTCTAAAATTAGAAACCTGATGTGAAAGTTTGTTTCTCAGTTTGCGGTTTCGCTCCTCTCCTGCCTCCTGCAGATTGGCACTCGGCTGCTCTGGTGGCAGCATGAATCCCCTCTCTGCAAGGCTAAAATTCCAATTTTATTCCAACGCAACTGTCACAACGCCCTGAAGCAAGCTAAAACAAGGAAAAGAATCTCTGGTATGGTTTCACTTTCCATGTGTTCTTTAATGAAAAATTTATCATTCTAAATATTGGTGTTTACTCCTAGTTAAATACTCTTTTTTTTTAATCAAAAAGAAAAAGAAACTGAGATTCAGTTGCTATTATTTCACAGAGAAATATAACAGGCCTGATGTTACCCTGACAATTCTGTTATTTTCTGGTGTGGAAACACTATATTTATCATATACTGTATGGCTGGTGATTCAGATATTGTGGAGACCTTATGGTGAACTGATATAGATATAAACCCTTTGTGCCAGATTGTTTAAGCAGGGAAAAAAAAAACTCAAATGCACTTAATTAACATCTGATGTGTAGCTTTTGCAAACACAAATGCAATATTTGTGTTTGAGCACTGACAGTAATGACTGTGAACTATGCTATTAATGTCTGGTTTAAAGATGCTTGTGGTAGGACCATGTCTGGAATAACACAAATAAAAAAACTGTATTCAGACAAAACAATAGCAAGGAGCCCACTCAAAAAATTGAAAAAGCAGCACTCAGAAGAAATACATGTATTTTTCCCCTTAAGATCAAAATTATTCTCAAAAATAGTTCCAGACACTTATCATTCTCAATCAATCAAAGGTGAAAAAATTCTATGTATTTCACTCCATAGAAATGAATTTCAGTTTAGGAGGTCAGAAGTTGCTCACGAATATCTTCAGAAGTCCTATTTATTGTATCAAGCCCCTCTCTGGTGGCTAGTATTAACTCATGCACAAGAGGAGGTAATGTTATAGGTACAAATATTTGACAATTTTTGTACCTGAAAAGAGATTATAGATTATAATTTGTAGATTATATCACAGTTTGAGTAAATAGATTCTCTTTGACCAATTCAACTCCCTCATTAATTGCTTTTTTTCCTGAAAACCTGCTGGCAGGTTGCTGGGTATAAAACATGAGGAAGGTTAAAATAAGGTAAAACTCTTGCCTAAATGTGGTATTCACTTTAGAGTAACAAGCAAAACAAGACATTGGACTTGGACCTCAGGCTCAAAAATATAAACAGTTATTACACCAAAGGAATTAGTTATCATTACATATTGGGACTTTAAATTTTTTTTAGAACATGCACTAAAGAAAAACCACAGCTGAAACTGGACATTTGATGACTAAAGCCATAAAACAAACATAATTGCTAAGTCCAATGCCCCCATAGTGGGAAGAATGCAGGACAGTCATCCATGTAGCTGAACCAACAGAAAGGAAAGCTAAGAGAGAACAGTGCAGTACAGGGATGGGAAGGGCTCCCGGTGGATCTGAATTCAAGTTCCACCTTGACAGGACACTGTCCCTGCTCAGCTGTCCTGCAAATGACTACGATGTATTCCTGCTCCAGGAGGAGCTATAAACCTCAATTTTTAGACCTTAAATCTTTCAGAGTCACAATAATTCGGAAAAGTTTTTTATAGAATTGAGTACACATTAACGTCATATAATGAAGCCAGACCAGATGAGGGGACCCCCAGGTGACCTGCCTGCTCTTCAGTTTTTCGACTGTATGACAATGCCCTTTTGGAATTCACACAAAATCTAAGTCATCATGTGTCCATTATAGATTAAACACTTAGTTGCATACTGAGACCTTCATTTCCATTATCCCAAACAGATTTCTGGTAAAAAAAAAAATAATAATAATTCAAAAAATAATAAAAATAGTCTTCTTAAAATTAGACTTATTTTAAAATTAATAATTATTTTCAAAGACCAGGAGAATGTTTGGTGTGGTGCAAACTGGATTATTCAATGTCCAGGAAAGTGCCTGATGATGCATTTATTATTTATAGCAGAAAGAAGTAAGCAAGGGAAGCTTCTCAGTAAGCCATTTAAATAACTAACAGAAACTCCTGGTTCCAAGATGTACCAGTTACCTCCCTCTATGATTCCTGAGGCATCAGACGAAACTACAGTTCAAAGAATTTTCCCTGTATTTCTAAACAGTGATGCCAATCCAGGCCATTCATACAATATATCAGACAGCAATGTTTAAATTATCCCATAAGTGCTTAGGCTTTCTAAATATGTATGTATAAAGTATTTATTTATAGACCTAAAAGTATCAACTATTACTACTTTGCCCTTATTTATGTTCCCCATGAGCTGGCCAACTACAAACTTCTAGAAGGAATTTGGCTGAAAAGATTTTGTGTGTTTGGCACTAAGGGTGTTAACCATCTCTGAGCTCACTTTTTTTTTCTCTTCAGGAACTTCAAAACAGAATCCTGTATCCTTATAGATTCTGCTTCCTCTTGGGTACTGTCACTGGCATGTTGACAAATTGTGTTCAGTTGTTAGCATCAGTCATATCTATTAAATTTTTTCAGGAAAATAAAAAAGACAAAAACAATATGTTAAGGTTCTTCTGTTTTGGTGAGTGGAATGGAAAAATATGTTGGAAAAAACTGATATAACAAAAAAAAGGTTAGAAAAATAGATATAAAGCCATTACATTTTAAAAAATAAGGGGAAAAATGCTATTACTGGCAATGAAATTCATTGAAAAATTTGGATGAATAACACATCTACCCTACTGAAACAAGAGTTATAAATTCTATTTCAATGGCTATTACTTCAAAAGATGAAAACAATTTACTCCTTTCTAGATAAAATGTTTCTAAGAAAGAATATGTGCAATTAAGGTAACCTAAGATTTAGGCTGAGAGTCTTAAATTCCAATGACTATATATTTTGGTGGAATATTAGAAATTAATTACTCCTTCTTAGAGCATTTTATTTTTCTGCTACTAGCACCCTCCCTGAGCCTCTTAAATAAGGGCTGAATGATGGTCAATTCATAATATTCACGTTTCTTCTGCAAACTAATATTTTTACTTTTGGTCAGCATATCTTGGTGAAAAAAGACATCTGGGAAAAGATTTCTGTTACTTTTCCCTTCTTATCACTAATTATATTCAAATCTAATCTGGATAAATGCATTGAAATGTAGCTTGTATAAAATTAACCACTGATAAGCCTTAATAATTATCCTTCAAGGAAAATGATGGCAATAATCAGAAGATTGATTTTAATATGTTATGAAAATAAGCTGGAAAGTTTAGAAATTTAGAAATGTTTTTCTAATGCATATGTGATATAAATTAAATACATAAACATATGTATTATACAATACTGAGATCATACTATTTATACCATTTTTTTATGCTTTGGCCTTGACACAGGCTATTCCCTCTGCCTAAATCTCCTCACATCTCCAATGTGGGCTATTGGCCTCACTCCTTCCAGTCTGTGTTCCATATACTGATTGTACAATGAGGCCTAAATTGGATCACACAATTTAAAATCATAATTTTTCTCACCGAAGAATTTGTAACACTCTTGTTCTGTTCCTTTTTTTCCTACTTTTTTTCTTTTGGCTTTAGCACTTATTATTTTTTAAAAAACTATACAATTTATTTATTTATTAAGCTGTTTATTTTCTGTCTGTCTCCTTATTCCTCCCCCAACTACTAAGTTCTTAGAGAGCATATGAATTCTATTTTGCTCACTGATGATAATGCCTGGCAGTTTACTGAATATGTATTTGTTGCATCAATTAACTACAAATTCTCTCTATATCAGATTATATTTTCCATGTCTACAAATTCTTCCAAAACTTAATTCTGGAGAATATGACATAGCTAATCATTCCCAAATAACAAACATTTACATTGTTTCCAGAATTTGCTCTCATAAATAATGCTTCAATAAATACACTGATGCTTAAGTACTGTTACCTTTTATTATCTCCTTAGGATTTATCACTAAAACTGGAATTCCTAAGAGGCAATTTTTAGAGTTCTTGGTACGTTTCACAAACTCACTTCCAAAAAGTTTATACCAATTTACACTAGCATTGGCAGAATGAGTGTCTCTAACTACATCATCACCAGTACTAAATATTACCTTTAAAATATCATCTTTAAACATTTTTGTGCCAATTTTGGCATCTTAAAGTTTTAACTTGAGATTTACAGATTTTGATGAAATTCTGCATGTAAATCACAGATATCCATGTGGAATAAAAATAGAGAAAAATCAGAAATCCCCCTGGGTTGTCCATTTCAAATCAAACAATATAAAATAGGTAATGATGGAGTACAGATACTGATTATTCCAACCACAGGTAATCAAAAGATCAGACTGGAAGCAATGTTCACCTTGATTTAAACAATTATATAACACATCTGTTCTTGGGAGATTAAATATGAATAGGGATGATATTAGCATTTGGTCTTAAACTCAGATGTGACATACAGATCAGTTTAAAATTCTTCCCAAAACTTATTCTGACAGCAAAACAAAAATAAGAATTAATATGTATGCTGAACCTAAGGCTAAAACCAGTTCTGTACTCTAACACCAGAATACCTCTTCCAAACTCTTGTCCACTGACTGTAATCCCAGCCCACCTGGCACTGAGCTGACTACATTTGTGGTATAATCCCTTCAGTCTTTAGGAAGGCTCAAATTAGAAACCAGGAAATAGATTTCTGAAAATTTAGTCATAAAACTTACACATCTCCATTTGTGAGACAAATCATGGAAAAATATGTCAAATTGGCAGAGAGCAATCAGTTTCTTCCTTTTTTCTCTAACAAAATACTGAACAAAAAACATCTATAACAACATTTTTATAAATCTCCACTTTATTGGAATGAAAAATAACCCTTTAGTACTATTGTGTTGGGCATTTTACAGACATTATTTCAACTTCACAATATTATAAGGGAGACACTAATACAATGTCCACTTTATAGATGTGGGAATTAAACTTTCCTGAGACTGAGAAACTCTCCAAGGTCACACAGACCAGGATTTGAACTTGGCTTTAAAACCTGTGTATGTCATTGCACAGCTCTAGGTAATCATATATATTATTTATTTAAGAGCAGAATTCTGGGGTTATGTCTATGTGTAAATGATTCTGAAGGCTTTGGCAGAGCTGTGCCATAAGAAATGTGTATCTTATGTTCATCCTCCTGCTCCTGGGGTATTTGGTATTTTAGTAACTGCTAAGGTATTAGCTAACCACCAAAATCTGACCCAACATAGCTTATTTTGTGACATTTACACAAGATTTTTTAGATGAAAGAATTAAAACTCAAAAGACCCTAGGATAGTGGAGTGCAGGTAACAGGGTCAGGACTTTGCTTTTTCTAAGGTAATCCCTATAGAATGAGGTGGGGGGAGAAGGCCAGAATGTCAAAGGGAGGCAAAAGTTGGTAAGATCCAGGGGAAAGAAATACCTTTCTCTCTGGTATTTCTGCTCTCTTGTTCTAGAATCCCATTGTCTAGAAAAGCTTTGCTCCAGGGTGCCGCTAGAACAGACTTGCAGCTGTAAGCACCAACTTGGCCACGCTAGATGCCCAAGTACTGAAATATCTTCCTACCAGCTAGAAGGAACCTTGACCTAAGTCCGCACTCCCTGTATCTCCCGAGGTATCTTCATCACACTGGGGACACAGATCCACAGTCAGAAGAGATGGGGCCTCTAGGATCCTGACACCAGATCTGCATCCATTCTTAGTCTCAGAGGTCATGTTGCAGGGTTTGCTATATATCTTTGATATCCTCCCTGGGTGCCCCATCAAATATCTGATAAGAGCTCCAGTAAGGCTAACTAGTAAGCTTATGAGTGCCTAGTATGGAACAGAACTGAAAAAAGATCCTCACCAGGTACAAGGAGAAGCCACTACTATAAGTAACTCTTCTATCACTATAAGGACTTGACCAAACAAGGGGTCCTCAGGATGCTATTATCATAAATAGAAAACAAAACAGAACAGAGCTAAGACCACACTTAGAACCTGTTAGACCACATCTTCGGGCAGGTGCAGCTCCCAGGTCAGGCTCAAGAGCACTGAAATCCCTCCTTGTGAACCAGCCCAGCTGCTTCCTTCTCTGAACAAGACTGCGCTTCTTAGGCAGGTCTGCTTCACCAAAGAGAAACACACTGCAGCCAGGAACGTGCAGGACCAGGTCTTTAGCGAGGCCTATAGCATGAGAAATATTAACAAAATCAGGCCCAATAAAATAAGAGAAAGTATTTAATTTTTGCTATGGTAGTAAAATGAAATTAACAAAAAAATTATCACTTTAACCACTTCTCAGTGTACACTTCAGTGGCATTAAGTTGCATACTGTCGTGCAGCCATGACCACTAATACATAGAATTCATACAAACTAAAAAAATCAAAGTTTGAGCATAATTAATTTTCCCTCTACATTAGTCCCATAATAAATGTTTTCCTCTAAGCAAGGAAGCTTGAATTTCTAACCCATTACAAATCTAATTTCACAAAGAAAATGTATCACTTAGATTAACAAAATCAGGGCTTTCAATTTTGAACACTTTTACAATAGTCCCAATTTGTATATGTTATGAGGAGATATAAAAAGTTAAAAGCACAAGAGCTAGATCTTCATTGTCTAATTTGGTAACCCCTGGCTACATATGCTATTTAATTTTAATTCTTGTTAATTGAAGTTAACTAAAATTTAAAATTAGGGGTTTTTAGTTGTACTTGCCACATTTCAAGTGCTCAATAACTGAGGCTCATGGTCTTCATATGGATCATTAATGTCATCACTAAAAGTGTCATTGGATAGCTCTGGGAAGATACTCTGTAAGGAATTCTAATACATAAACATAATTGGAGGCTACTCCGAAAGAGAGAACATTTTCAATCTCCCTTTACCATTCTTTTAAACATTTGGATTCTCTGTACCGGACTTAATCTTCTTAATGCACAGTGAAGAATTTCTCTCCTGTTGTTTCTAGATTTCTAGGACCTTCAGAGGACCTGTGCTTACAGCTATCACATCTTTCCAAGGGGCTAATTTCCAAGGGCTGTCCACTGGCAGCAAGTATAGCAAAAGCATACATCTTTCTGTATGATAATGTAAAATGTAGGTACTTAGGGACTTTGGGTACAGGCCTAGGACAGCAGGAAAGTGGGACTTCTTTATTTGGAGGTACTTCATGGGCCATCAGAGTTGAGACAGGGACTCTGTCCACAATAAGCACAGGAACCTTCCCAACTACAATTTTAGGATTTGTTATTTGTCCATTTGTTTCTAGTGTAGACTGTCTTGTTGATGGAAGAAATGAAATGTGCATGACACACACACACACACACACACACACACACAAAAAGGTTTTGTACCACTAAAGGCACAAAAAACCTTGGGAAATGTTCTTTAAGTCAGCAGAGACTCCAGCATTGAAAGCCCATGATGTTGTAGACACCATGAAGCTCAAAAACAAATCTCCTAAATTTATTTTAGCTTAAGTCATTTGTGCTTCTTTAATACCACTTAAGATACTAGAGGGTCACAGTTCCTAGGGGAAGGAAAGGGGACAGAAGCCAGGGACACAGTCAACTGAGGTTAAGGAATTACAAAATAATGTTTAAGCACTTAGCTAAATTGTTCCTCAAATCTAGAATGGCAGTGGGAAAGAGGAGGTAAGAGAAATGGGAGAACATAAGGAGAATTAAAATGTTAAGTCATCTGAACATCTGACCACTATCCAAATGTTTCTGGTCATGTGTGTCTGCTCCAACCAAAACTTAAGAATGACTCACACTTTGGCTGCTACAGTAGCCTAAAGCATAAAATATAATGCCTCAGAGTCTCTCCCACTAAATACTCTAACATGTTTTCTGGCTTTGTCCATCCAGGTCAGCACCTTTATCTGGAGCTATAATTCTGGAGTACTGTCTATGTTTATATATCCCAGAATATCTGCTAAGGAGTATTCCTGAAGCTTGGCTTCTAAAGGGCAAAGCACTCGGACATATTTGCAGTAGCAACCCCTACCTGTCAGCAACTGGTGGGGATTGGGGTCAGGGGTAGAAGAAATAACATATGCATTTAGGCCAGGATTGAATACCATAGGGTTGAACACCATTGCTGCTCCTTAATAGTTATTAGGATCTTGAACAATTGACTTGACATCTCTGAGTGTGAACTTCTCTGTCTGTAAAATGGAAAAGAAAAATAGCTCCCTCTGAAGCACTAAAACATTATCTAGAATTTTGTCAATTAAAAGATAAAATAAATGTTTATCCTGCTTTTCCTGTATGAATAGTATTTCAAAGAAGTCAGAGGGCCCAAATTGATGAGGAAAAAAATTTAAATATTTTTTAAAACCCAAGGAATAAATATAGAAGTAATGACAGAATCAGAAAACCAGCATTTTGCAAACCCAAAGGGTCAAATTGCTTTAGCTAAAGATTAGCAGTGGGTAAAAATCTCCTGAAAAGTCCATTAGGAACTTTACAATGGCAGACAAAGGCAATTTTTGTTTGCATCACCAGAAGTGATATAATCAGACATGGTAGCCTAGAGATAGGATGCAGTATGAAGTACACAGCCTACCTTTGAAGAATTCTTGCCCAAAATATTAAACTTCAGACCAATCAAGTCTCTAAAGCTAACCTATATACAGGAAATGTGAAGGATGAAATTAAATTACACTTAACATTTAAATACACTACAAAGAAGCAGACAGAACTAGAATGTGAAAATTTTATAGGACAACTGAGAGAGAAAAAACTGGAAGGAGATTGATCTTAGATTAAGAGATTTAGAGACAAAACGATCAATGTGATGTGTGAACCACATTAGATCCAGAATCAAGTAAACCCACCACAGAATGATGTTTGCCTAGATTATATACTGGGTGTTGGAAGGTATTAAAGAATTATAATTTTCTTGGATGTGATAATGATACTGTGATTATATAAGAAAATATTTATATTGCAAAGAATATGAATTATGTAGGGAGTAAAAAACATGATCCTTAGAATTTGCTTTAAAAATATTTAATAAAACCAAAGGAGAAAAAAAGAGGAAGATTAAAGGAGTGGAAAAAATGATGAAAAATAAGAAAAAAGAAACAGGTATTTGAATGGATAGAGAGACTAAGGCTGGATGATTTCAGAAAAGTATCTAGCTCAGTGCCTGATCCACAGCAGTCAATCAGTAAACACTAGCTTCCTTTTCATTCTTCAAGGTACACCCCTGTTCTGGACTGTGAATTATGAAAACCTAGACTGGCATATTCCTATTTTCCAAAAATACCCAGATATTTTAACAACATCCCTCTTCCATGATCTTTTCTACATAATTCACTATTTTCTAATGAAGCAAGAACATGATATCTTTCATTATTCTCCTTACCATAAAGAAACAACCAGGGCTAAAATGATATTTAGGCAGTATAATAAACTCTTCACACCCAAGGAAATAAATAACATTTGTGTTCCTAATGATTTCAACCTTGGGGGCCTACAGCAGGTAGATATTTCGAATTTTGAAAAGCAAAGTTAGACAGATTGCATTTCCAAGAAACATATTTATTCCGATGATTGTTTATTACCAAGTTATTTTATTTGTGGTATACATTGTATATTCAAAACAACTAGTTTTAATTTTATCATGTGGTTTTCTCAATGTGCCTATGTAAAAATTATACCTTTTGTAATTTCAAATATCCACATCATACAAATCAAATTGCCTCCTTAAAGAAGATAAAAATTGTAACTACTTCAAGGTCAAGTCTGTGGGAAACCCAGTCTCCTCAGCCTTTAGGTAAGTGGTGGTATTATTCCAAGCAACAGTTCTGTGTACCTCTGCTGAAAATCCACTGATGATTGTAGCTCTCTAAGATGTTCATCCCACCTCCCCCTGCAGCAGAATCAGATGTTTCCAAGCAGGGATTCCAGAACTAATCCCCACTTCATATCTATGCTCTCATCCCACTGGAATTCATTTCTTCCCCTTAGGAGTTCATGTGATATCTTAGAGCTCTTATTAATTTTTATCAATAGCAACCCATCTAATCTGCTTATATTACATAGTTAATTGTGGGATTTTACTTCCAGTTCTAAGTTCCACACTCCCTGAAGAAAATAGCTATAATTTCTCACTAACCATTTGTTAAACCAAATAAACTGCCTTTGATTCCAGAGCAGACAGAAATGAGAGTAAAAGGTCATTATGGTAATGAACGAAAACTGAGTACACATATCCTAATTAGAAACTATGACACCAACTTTCCACCATTGTGTTCCCATTGATGTGCTGCTCAGTAGTCTGATCTGCAGCAGTCAAAGCTACCTGTACCTAGGATACTGGAGCCAGTTGGTCTTGTCAGACAGGGGATACTTTTGAATCTCTTGTTCAGAAGGAATACAATGCCAACAGATAGTCTAGAACTATGCAAAACAAAACTGCACCTTCCTAAATTGCTTGGTATTAAAAGACTAATTTTATGAGTTTCTCTTCCATTTTTAACAAGTTTTTCCCACCACTTAGTAGTTCTAATCTTTTCATTTTCTCTGGTTGTATTTTGAAATGGCTGATTTGATGACAATACTCTCCCCCCATATATATGCCTTCATGATTGGTTGGCCTTACAGACTGAAAAAAAAATGATTTTTGAACATTTCTATACATGTATATTTAGCACTTTTAATTCTAACTTTAAAGACTAAAAGTCAGTTATATTCCTCTCTTTGCAAAGAAGAATCAATGCAATGAGATATTTCTCAATCCAATGAGAAGTGTAAGCCTCATATTCTTAATATGAATGTCTTCTAAGTCTATGACAGACATAAGTGGCTGAAATATGCAATCGTAAAAAAAAGACATGAAGACAGTAGTTAAGAATTTGCTTAATTAAATGTACCTGCCTGTCATACTTCAGCAGCACGCATTTCATATTGATAGTGGTATTTAATGCTATTCTTTTTCCTTCTGCTTTTGTTTCTTTCAGTAGCACTTTAGTCCTACTGGTATAAAGAGACTTGAAATTTAACTGTTAAACAGAATTGCAATTCAGCAGCTCAAGGAACATAACTTATAAGCTTAGTCTTCGCTTAGTCTTTGAACATTCTTGATACCAGCCAAAATGCACAACTTTGAAAGAAACCTCAAGTCTGTCACTCGCTTTCTCTAGGAATAAATCTCTTTCCTCAGATCTGAT